CGACCCCCGCCGGGGTCGCGACCCACAGGTTGAGAACCGCTGCACTAGACAATCAGCGTGAATGTTCTCAAACAAAAAGAGTTTCATTCCCAGAAGGAAACTCCCTTTGTTGTATGCAAACCATTTCCATGTCCACCTCTCATCATCATACTCCTTAGCAAAGGGATTATGCTGATTCCAGTCTGGAGTGATCTCATCTCAGCCAAGTCTCTTTGGCCTCTCCCATGCTGAGCCATTCAGATGTCCCAATATGATATGGCTGGTTTCCTGTGCTGGGGTGCTAACCTCCAGCAACCTCCCTTTTTGATATTAATTTCATATCAAAGGTCGAAGAAGGGGGACTGAGGGCCCTGGCTGACCCACCCAGCCCTTCCCCTGCCTGCTCTTATAATCACAAAATCAGAGAATCAGAATTGGAAGAGAGCTACCCCCAGCATATTTTTTAAAAGCATAGATCTATAAGTTTGGCCACCAAAATGGAAATCATAGTAATATAATAATAATAATAACATTTTATTTATATCCCGCCTTAAGCCAAGGCTATCCAGGTGGCTTACAGTCTAAAATACAATCCTATACAATACAAATATCAAAAACGCATCACCCTCCCCTTAAAAATATATTAAATCAATAATACATTAAAATTAGCTTAACGCACAATACACATCAATACAATAAACAAAGGCATTCTAAGTATACAAAAATAGAGATAGACTCCCACTGAGCATCAGGGCCACACCCCCAAGAGTCTTAAAGGGCTAAGGCTGGGGCTCTGATGCCGCATCCTCCTCTCCTGTCCCTGCCTCCGCTCCCATGAGGCCAGGTGTTCCGAGGGAGGAGGGGGCAGGGAGGAGGCTCACCGCCCGGCTCCTGAGTCTCTTCCCAGGTCTCTGCTGTTGCCGATGGTCAGGGCAACAGGGCAGAGGCTTTGAGGGCTCCCATGAGGCCAGGTGTTCCGAGGGAGGAGGGGGCGGGGGAGGAGGCTCACCGCCTGGCTCCTGATTCTCTTCCCAGGTCTCTGCTGTAGCAAAAATTATTCCACAGTGCATTTTGGGAAATGATTTCCAGTGGTTTCTAGATGGTCCAAAATATTTTTTACTTACTTATGAAAACATACTTCTTACTTTTTTACAGTGGGCCCTTGGTATCCACTGTGGTTTGGTACCTGGGCTCCCTGTAGATATCAAAATCCGTGTGTCTTCAAATTATGTTAAATACAATGGATGGTAAAACTGTGTCTCTTATATAAAATTATTAAATTTAAGTTTGCTTTTTGGAATTTATATCATCATCATCATTATCAATCATCATCACCACCCTTTCCACTAAAGGATGGTACATCAGAACATATACAATAAAAAGCAAACAATAAAACACCACTCTATAAAATACTAAAATATTAAAATAATATACTAATGTATTAAAAACAAAAACAAACTCCTCAGTCGCTACCCATCTTGGCCACCTTATTGAATCCATTGATGAAGAATCTGTGGATATGGAGGGCCAACTGTACTTTACTTATTACTTACTTTTTTCATTTCACATGTACATACTGTTTTTATCCAAAAGTTTGCTGAAGCATGTTGAATTGCCCCTCTCTCTTTGTGGCATAGGAACCTGTCCCCATTCTTTCCATGTTGTTTGTGCCTCTGGTACCAAATTTTCTATTAACAAAGAAATGCCCAAGTACACACCTGCTTTGTTAAAGGAGGGATACCTGCGTAAGGCTGAATTGCAGTGGTGGCGAATGAGCAACAACTCCCACTTTCCCAAACTCTGAGGGAAAGGTCCCTTGTTACCTGTATTGCAAGGGATCCCAAGAGGGCAACCCACTAATTGACTTCAATATCGGAATTTATTTAGCTCAATAATCTAGCAGCAAGAGAGCCAAGGTATCTTCTGGCTGGAATACAAGCCTTAGTATACCGGTTCCGAAAACCTAGAACTCCAGAGTACTAAGCACAAATCTATTGTATTAGTTGGAAGAGGATTATTAAAAAAAATATTTGTGGATAAAGTAAAAAGGAGTAAGTTAGTTTTGAAGGATTTCAATGGGCAACGCTTACCAGTTCCAGAAGCCAGGCTCCATTATGGGAGAAACTGGGAGCTGAATGTGACTCAGTCTGCTTCTCTGCAATACTGCGGGGCAAGGTTTGAGTCTTCTGCTTTGTTGCAAACTGGACCAAGTTGCTATTGTTCAGGCACATGTATTTAAAGTGAAGAAAGGGTCCTTGGGCAGTATTTCTGGAGTCAAAAGTCTTAAGTGACTTTCCTAGGGGAGAAAAATGGGGAGAGATAGGGAAAAATGACTGTATAATCGACTTGAATGTCCTCAGACAAAGAGAGTTCCAATCTCAGAAGGAAATTTCCTTTATCACAGTATGCTGACAATCTCTAGGTTCAGCTTTCCACCATTGCTTTCTTCAGTGAAGGGATCGTGTTAATCATGATCCTAGTTAAGTGCCTTTGGCTTCTTCCATGCTGAGCCATATGTGGATGTCCATATATGATATGGCTGG